AAAAAATAATAATATTTTAATCTATAAAATTTTAAACCCATAAAATTACCAAATTTTAATAAAAAATAATTTAAATATTAATAGCAATTAATAAACGTTAATAATAATATTATTAAACAATATCTAAATATAAATATTAAATTATATTTTAAAAATTATATATATATAAAAAATTAATTTAAAATAAAAAGTTAAATAATTTAATAATAATTAACTTTAAAATTTAAATTTTATAAGTAAAATAGATTAGTTATTTCTTTTTAAGTAAAATGCGTAATATTTTTAACCCAATTATTTTAATTATAATTAATAATATAATAAAAAAGTTTAAAAAGTATAAAATTTTTATTAAATTTTAATTTTATTTTAATTTATTAATTAAAATTAAAGGGTAAGGATTTTTATATATATAAGCGTATAGTTTTTATGTCTTTTTTTTATTTAATAAAATAGTTTATAAAAGATATAAATAAGTTTTAAAAGATGGTAAGTTTAATTTACGTAATAATAAATATATTTATTATATTAGTTAAATTATTAAAAAGTTAAAAAGCTTTTTGATTATAAAAGTAAATTATAAATCGGATATGTTATTAAATAAATGTCTGGTATATATTATAATTATTAAAAAAAGATTTTACTTAATAATTATATTAAAAACGTTTATTTTAAAAATAAAGGCCTTTTTTTTTACAATTAAACAAATAGATTTTTTTATAATGAAAATTAATATAATTAATTAAAAAACAAATGTTTACGCCGATAAACATGCCGGAATTAAATGTAAAAACCACGTTTAAAGCCGGGAATCCTTTAAATTAAACGGAGTTATTTAAATTAATTATTTTGGCATTTTTGCTAATATTTACGTATAAATTGCTATTAATATTTAACTTTAATGATAGATTTAACGATAATATTAAAACTGATATAAAAAATAATATATATATTAATTTATTTTTGTTTAAACAATAATATATAAAATAAATTTTTAACGCGAAAATAGTTATTTTTAAAAGAAATAAAAATAGAAAAAAAGGCGTTAAAAAAGTAAAAAAAGATTTTTATTTATAATATTAAACTTAATTTATTATAAATTTAATTTTATTCAATATTTATAATATAATCTACTTTAACCCAATTAAAATTAATACTTTATTTTAATTAATTATTATATATTTGGTATATTATTATTCCGATATATTAACTTAAACGTATAACCTTATTTTAATACCAAATTATCTTTTATTTCTTTTATAGCCTTTTTTTTTACCATAATAACTTATAATATATTAAATTTATAATAAATATATACCTTAAACTACCACATATAACCTCTTTCTTTAACTTTATTAATTTTTAATATACCTTTATTATTAAATATCTTAATTACAGAAATAAAAATAACCCATTATTATAATTTATTCATTTTAATAAAAACTTTAATTACAATTTAATTATTTATACTTATTATATTATAATTAGTAATATTTAGCCTTTTGAAATAAAAAACCAAAAAAAAATTAATAAATAATTTAACAATAGGAAACTTAACTATATTTATTTATTACATTTAAAAAAACCTAATAAATAAAAAACTATTACCCGCTTTAATAATAATATTTTTACCAACTTAACTTATTACCTCCATAATAATATAAACAATAATAAAATAATATATTTTTATTTTTATTTTTATAATTAATTAATTATAATATACTACCCATTTATACTAACCTTTAATTATTAAATATTTCTTTATAATAATTTACTTTCTTTTTAACAAAAAATAACCATATTTTAACTAGCTTACACCGTAAAACTAAATAATAATAACCAATAAACAATATTAACTTACAATTAAATTTATTAAATTATTAACTTTTATATTATTTTAAAATATATTTATATAATCTTTAATTTTACAAATCAATAATATTAAATAAATATAATAAAGTTATATATTAATTTTATAAGAATTAATAATATAAAAAATTTAATAACATTTTATAAAAATATTTATTATTTATAAAATAAAAATATAAAAATTATTTTATTTTTTAAAAAATACAAAAATAAATATTATTTAATTAACCATATATTTAAACCAACCCATATTACTTTTAAAGAAATAAAAAAACATTACCATAATTTTAAATGCTAAAATTTATATAAAATTTATTAAAAATATTTATTTATTTATTTTACTTAATTTATCTTTTATATAAATATTATTATAATTTATAAAGCCAAAAAAGGTTTATATAAACTTTTATTTTTTATAAAAAATATAATATATTTTTAAATTTAAATTAAAGATACGTTTTTAAATTAAATTCTTTTACCTTTACTTTTTTATATTAATTTACCAAACTTAAACCCACTTTTAAAAAAATAATTTTTATTTTAAAATAATAAAAATTGTTATTATTATTTTATTAATAATTAAATTATAAATTTTAACCTATATAACAATATATACAATAAAAACAATAAAAATAATAAAGATAATAATATAACTAATAATAATATTTGTTAGTATTATTTTATTAATAATTAAATTATAGATTTTAACCTATATAATAACACACACAATAAAAACAACAAAAACAATAAAAATAACAAAAACAATAAAATAATTAATAATAATATTTATTGGTATTATTTCCTTAATAATTAAATCATAAATCTTAACTTATACAACCATATATATAATAAAAATAATAATAAATATATCAGTTAAAAACGTTAATAATTTAATAGTTTTAATAACAAATTTACCTTTTTTTTTTACAATCTTTTATTATTGTTAATAGTAGCGGTTAAAATAATAATATTATAATAAATCCGCATATTATAAAATTTAAAAAAGTTAACTTTAAATATAATAATAACATTATTAATAACGTAACTTCATTTAAATACCAGGTTATATTATATAATACAAAAAACATATAACTTTAATATATTTAATATAACGTAATAATTTTTTTAATTTTATTAATTTTTATACTTAATAAATTTATTGTAATATATTTAAAAGGGATTTTAATATAATAAAGTTATACTTAAAGTTATATAATAAATACACAAATTATTATTTAATTTATTAATATTACTTAAAAAACTTACACAAATTTTTAATTACATTATTTTTACTATATTAAAAAATTACGTTAATTATTTTTTATAATAAATTAATACCGGGAAAAAATTACTATTTTTTCATAATAATTATTTATTATTTAATAATAATATTATTAATTTATATATTTTAATATTACCTACCCGATTATTATATAAATCTTTACTTTCTTCTTATTTTTTTTAATTTTTCCAAATTATTTTTTATTAATATCTTTTATTATCATCTTTTATTATTATTATATTTAATCTTATTACTATAATAATAACCTTGTTTAAATAGCAATTAATAATATTCAATTATTATTTAAATAAAAAACTATATATTTAAAAAATCCAAATTTTAACCAAAAGATTAAACTGTATAAAATAATAAAGTAAATTTTAAAAAAAATTCCTTAAAATACATTACTTTATAACTTTTTTTATAATATCCATAAATTTTAAAGGTTAAAACTAGTAAAATTTTAATATACCGTTTACTTATAAAATAATTATTTTATTTTAATAAAAAACGGTTTTATTAAAAAACAACTTCGTAATAACAACAATTAATTATATTTAATTATTATTAACTTTTATATAATTTAAACGTTTAATCATTTTTATACGCGTAAATAATTACTTTTTTTTAACTTTTTTAACTTTTATTATTACAATTAACTTTATTTTTAACATATACCAAAATATATTAATAAAAAAATAATAAAATAAAACTTAAAATTAATAAAACAAAACCTATTAAATATATCTTTACACTATATAATATATTATTTTTAATTATTAATATTTATTTATTTATTATTATTATAAATTAACTATTTACTTTATTTAAATATACGTTACTTCATTTTTATAAATAATATTAAAGCGGTTATTTTTATAAAATAATTCGCAAAATTAAAAAATTTAACAAACTTAATCAAATATAACATATATAAAATTAAAAATAATGTTTTAATAATTAAATTTTTATTACTTTTTATAATTATAATATTATAATATTATAATTATAATATTATAAAATTATAATTTTAAATGGTAACGTAATATATTGGCCCGTTTTTTAATTTAAACGTAAGTATATACCTAAATATTTAATTATAACGGGTAAAATTCGGAAAAGCTTAAGCCTTGTTAAAAGTCAGGCTTTTGTGGTTCCCCTTACGGGGGGGCCCTCGGTTTATCTGTATTTTAATGCTATTATTGGGAGCTTATCAAACCATCCACTCATAAGAAAAGTGGAGATTATGTTGGCCTAGACACATATACTTTTACCGCTGATTTGGAAGATCTTTATCTGAATGGTTTAAAAAGGGCCCGGCTCTGTGGTCTTATTTAAGGTTCTTACATTCCATGTGTTTGCGGTACGGATCTGGGAGTAAGAGTCGAGTAACTTAGATGTACCTATCACCACTTATTATGCATACGCGGGATCGTGCATTAGCGCAATTGACATTAGGATATCCTCCAATGACGTCGCTTACGGTTCTAAGCGGCCTATCGTAAAGCCTCCCAGCTTGCTTCGTGCCTTTTTAAGGAAGATTCATTAAAGGATTTTTGTTTTTATGTGCGCGGAGCGCGCGTGGTTTGACTAGGTACGAAGACGCGGCCTTCGGAGCCGTGTCCGTTTGAACCCATGGTCATCGGAGAAATGGCTTGAGGGCTAATTAAACCCCGAATTTTATACTATCCCGAATAGAGGCGACCATACGTTACAACGGTTGCGGGATATTAGGTACCTATTATCCAAATAAGTAAGATCGGAAACGAATTGCTGCGGCGGCCAGTGGTTGATTCGTTAGTCTGCGGACTTATCTTCCTATATCTAAATCACCCCTTATGTAATTGGATCTCCCTTTTCCCCCTCAGCCCAATGATTATCAATCTCGTCCGCTTGGTTGCATTATCGGATATGCATTGTAAGCTCTACCGTAATAGAAGCCTTAAATGATGCTAAGAGTCGGTTTTGGTCTATTCCAGACGATGACTAAGTCAAGTGAACTTATAGAATCTGCACATGAACAAGTAACATCAATCGTGGGGATGCTTGCTTTGATTTCTTTCCTCTTTCCTCTTTCTGAGTTTTTGTATTTGTTAAAATTGTCGTTCAAGCTTTAACTAGCTCCAACGTGAAGAGAAGTTAACTATGTCATCTGAACTCGAAAGCTATGCTGGGTTTGAGGCCACATTTATTGGCTTCCTCTATCGACAATTTACTAAACCAAAGCCCGTGCCGGCAGGCACTGATCTCACGGACCAAGTTGCCATCATTACGGGAAGCAATACAGGGCTCGGTTTTGAAGCATGTCGACAGTTTCTAAAGCTTGGATTATCTCGTCTAATCATGGCCGTGCGCTCACAAGCGAAAGGCGACGAGGCGGCTGACCAACTGCGAAGTGAATTTCCGACATCTAACATATCTGTTTGGACCCTCGAAATGGAATCGTACGACTCTATCCGTGCCTTCGCAGACCGGTGTGCAACCCTGCCACGCATCGACATAGTTCTCCTGAACGCCGCCCTGATGAAGATGGCTCATACGACGGTACCCGCCACTGGTCACGAGCTCACGATGCAGGTGAACTACCTCTCGACGGCGCTTCTAGCTATCCTACTCCTTCCCATACTTAAATCCAAAAAGGCTATCGGTGCCCAAAGACCTCCTGTTCTTAGTATTGTGGGGTCTGACCTGGCGTATCGGGTGGACATTGAAACCAAGGGCCCTATACTACAGCAGTTCGACAAGTCCGAGGGTTATGGTCAAATTCCCTGGTACTCCAGATCTAAATTAATACTCACGTTCTTCGTTGCTAAACTCGCCGAGTTTGTCGATGCCGATGACGTCCTCATAAACATGTCGAACCCCGGGACTATCAAGGGCACGGCATTTTTCCGCGAATTCCCCACACTTGCCGGGAAAGTGGTAGCTGTTATCCATTTTCTCTTCGCAAGGCGAGTAGAGGTCGGTGCTACTATGTATCTTGATGCGACTATCGTTCAAGATAAAGAAGGCCATGGAAGTTTTATTAGCGATTGGGCTATCAAACCGTACGTATTGCCATGTATCTCGTGATTTCATAGTTGATAAATGCGGTGCACTAATATTAGTAGATATCCCCTGATCTGGTATGGGGCGGAAGGCAAAGAGCTCAATGAAAGGCTATGGGAGGAGACAATGCAGGAGCTAAACTTCGTTGGCGCGTCGAAGATTATAGAGGACATGAAAGCACGATGACGAGCAATGACGATATTGAACAGAAAAAGGGTACCTAGTATACCATGTAGAAGTATCCGCACCTTATAATAAAGTATTATTGTGGTGAATCTCTATCTATCCGTAATACTTTAAGACTACCTAGGTATAATATATTGCTTTTTTTCCCTCATGTTTTAAAACATTTAGTATACCAACCAGTTGACCTTTTTAATGCTTTTTTCAATCGTAAATCTTACTTAATCAACTTTTATTACCTTAAATCACTTGGAGTATTTATTTTATAACAAAGTTTTTTTATAATTATTTGTTTTATATAAAGTAAATATTTAATATTTAAGCTATTTATTTTAATTTTATAAAAATAAAACCATTACCCCGTAAAATATATTAACGTAAATCATAAATTAATAATTTATATAAATTAAAAATTTATATTTTAAAACTTATTAAATTAAATTATTTATTTTTTAATTATAACATATTTAAATTAATTATAATTATATTAATTTTTATTATAAAAAGTTTTTAATTTAATTTAATAAATTTACGCATTATATTTTATATTATTATAAATTTTATAACGTTATTAACTTTATTATCGTTTTATTAAAACATTATTTTTAAAAATTATAACATTACTTTTAACGCCGTTACTTTTTTTTAAAACCGTAAAACCTTTTTTTTTTATTAAATAAAAAAAATTTTTTTTATAATTATTTATTTTTTACCTGTTAACGTTTAAAAAGTACGTAATTTATTTTTTAAAAATTTAAAGTTTTTTTTTTAATAAAATAATTTTATATAATAATTAATATATAATTTTATTTAATTTATTAATAACTTTTAAAATTTTAATTAAAAAATTAACTTAATAAATAAAATTTTTATTATTTATTAAAAAAAACTATAAAACAATTTTATTAATATTTTTTAATATTTTAAATATTTAAAATAAATTAAATAAATAAAGGTTTAAAAACAGAAAATAAAATATTTTAATAATATTAAATTTTAAAATAATTTTATTAACGTTTAATAAAATTAATCCAATAGTTTTAAAATTAGCGCGTATATTTTTTTTTATAAAAAAAGCTTTAAACGTTTATTAAAACGTTAAAAAAATTTTTTTTTTCGCAATATAAATAAAATCATAACGTATTAAACCTTTAATAATAAATTTATATATACGTTTTAAAATTAAAAAAACGTTTACATTTAAAGGTTAAAATTTATATAATAAATAAATAAATATATAAAAATATATAATATTATTATTATAATAATATTTATAAAATTTTATTAAAATATAATTTTTATAATTATTTAATATTAAAAAACGTTTAATATTTTTTATACGTTTTTTTATATAATAATTAAAATATATTAATTATTTTAAAACAATTTTATTTATAAATTAATTGTTTTTTAATAATTTAATAATTTAATTAAATAAAAATTTATTATTATAATATTATAAAATTAAATATATTTTATTTATAATAATAATAAAAAATAATATTATTTAATTTTTATTATTAATTAATTAAATTATTATAAACCATTTTTTATTATTAAACATTATTTAATAAAATTTATAATACTTTTTACAATTAATTATAACCATTTTTATAATAATTATTTTTATTATAAATTTAATTTTATTAAAATTATATATATTTTCGAATATAATATTTTTTTTTAATTATATTATTAATAAATTTAAACCACGCGTAATATATATTAAAATTTTTATAAAAAATCTTTTAATAATTAATATAATAATTTAAACGCGTTTTAAATTTAAATTAACATTTTATAAAATTTAAAATTTAATTTTTTTTAACGCGTTTTTTATTGCGTTTTTATAATAATAAATTAACTATTTTTTTAACGTAAAAAAGCTTAAAAAAAACGTTTAAAAATTTAATTTAATAATATATTAAATAATAATATTTTTTTTTTAATTTAATTAATTTTTATTATAGTTTTATTATATTAATATATTAATTTTAACCGTTAAATTTACTATATAACGTTTTAAATAAAATATTGTAAAATGTACTTTAATACATTTTAACACGTGACTGCTCGTCACGTGTCATTTAAACATTTAAATTCATTTTAAATGTTTGTAAAAAAAATAATAATCTTTTATTTTAATAGTTAATTTAATAAATCAATTTATTTAACAAATATTGTAAAAACGCGTAACGTTTTAAATATTAAAATTTTCATTTTATTTAATAACGTTAAAAATTAAAATTATTTTAATTTCTTTTATTAATTAAAATATTATAAATTAATTAAATAATTAATTATTAAAATTAAAAAGTAATATTTTTTATAATTATAAACCTTTAATTTATATAAACCGCTAACTTATGATTTACATTAACTTTTATTTAACTTTATAATCTTAGCCTTGAAAATGACGCAAAATAATAGCAAGGAGATAATGTGCGGAGGAAGATTACTTTCATTTATGATGCAGAAAGACGTAGAGATTTATGCTTAAAGACATCCAATCATGTTCAAGGCTTGATGACATGCAAAACCTCAACTAACCTACCAAGTTATTGAGGAGTAACACAAGAACAGTCCCTTTTATACTGTCACGAGGTGGAACGAAACAGTATGGAAACAACTTCGTTATTCCGCAAGGAACTCTAAACTACCTGTGAAGATCTCTCGTCTATACATACTGAACAATTCCTTTGTTCTAGATGTCTCATCTAGAATCCTGACACTCCCCTGCTCACCAACGCTAGTTAGACAGCAAGATGCCGACTTATGCATCAAGACGCTTGTTGGCACGCTTTTTGCACATGGTTATCAGACGTTAAACTGGAATGTGGTTAATAGCCTTCCTGAATCGGGCTCGAAGATACTCCACAGCCTCGCACCGTACCCATGGGACTATTCGGGGGGCTTACTTTGGAGTGAGCCTCGTGCCAGTTTAGAGATGAGAAACAGGAAACACTTGCGCCATGAGCTTCTCGGCACTCTAGCTCTCACGGGCAACGGAATCGACTTCACGTGGCGGAACTTGCTACGCTTGAGCGAAACACCTTGGCTTCGAGACCACAAGGTAGAAGACCAAATCGTCTTTCCTGCTACTGGATACATACCCAAGTAGTCAGTCAGTCAGCTACTAAGATGATTGGTAGCTGGTTTTCTTTAGTTAAAGTAATTTATTACTTAGGCGGGTTTATATAGCATGCTACTTCGAAACGGTTCTGGGACCAGGCACCGGAACAGATCGCCGAGCTGATCTCTGATCATGGAATTATCATTACACGAAAATCAGATGCTGCAGTATCAGAGTTGAAAACCGCCGGGTTCGACGTATTAGAGATGGAGGGCGAGTTTCTCGCGACGATGAGCCCAGAGAACATGAACAGACTGCGCGTCATAACTAACACGGCAACTGACTTGCTCTGTTTCACGAGCGCAAATATGCTAGGTAATGCATCAGATCCGAACCTGACCCTTTCTAGCGGCCTCTCGCGCGCGTTGATGCTAGAACTACCCACGTTGCGATACTCGGTCCTCGATATCGGGCCCCTACAACAGCTCAACTTTACCACGGCTTGCGAAAATGCATTAAAAGCCTTAGTAGCCAAGTATGACAAGGACGATTGCGAGTTCATCGAAAAAGACGGCCTCCTACATATTAGTAGATATGGCCCTGACTTCCGAGTGAATTCCCTTTTCCGACAACGACTAGGACACCAGAGCGAGAAGAAGGTGAAGACACTTACTAAGGTGAAGCCAGCGCGGCTATCCATTGACCGAGTCGGGATGATGGACACGCTATACTTCCAGCAGCTGTCAGAACCGGGACAAGGTGCGACACCGCCGGCGGATTACGTTGATATCGAAGTCAGGGCAGTGAGCCTCAAGGCTAAAGATGTATACGCTATGAGCGGTCGCGTCGATACGCGTGATAAGACAACTGCATTTGACTTTTCCGCCCCATCATCTTGGTACGGCGGTGCGCGCGCCGGCCGGATCGGTGCACAAGATGCTGGACGACGAAGAGTTTACCGTCGTGCCGACGTTGCTGCTTGACTAACGCTACATTTATTACAGGTCGCGCCGGCTACATATGCCAGTGTGTTCAGCGCCGAAAAGGTCTATCTTCTCGTCGGATGTCTGCGTGACTTGGGTCGTAGTCTCAGTCGATGGATGATAACACGAGGAGCCCGCCACTTTGTCTTTTTAGGCCGTTCCGGAGCCGATAAACCCAGTGCGAAACAGCTTGTGTCTCGGCTAGAAGAGGCCGGGGCCACCGTCGGAATAGTCCGTGGTGATGTCTCCAAGGCTGCCGATGTGACCGCCGCAGTTTCGACCTGCATGGCTACGGGGCGGCGCATCGGCGGTTTCATCCAGGCGGCCATGGGTCTCCACGAGGCCCTTTTCACACGCATGCCCAATGAAGCCTGGCATACAGGTATTGATCCCAAATGGCAAGGGACCTGAAACTTGCACAACGCGTTGCAAGTACACGTCGAAAAAGACGCGCAAAACGAGCCCGACTTTTTCTTGCTTACCTCATCGGTCTCGGGAACCGTAGGTACGGCAACATAGAGAAATTACTGCTCGGTGAACGGCTTCCTCGACGCCTTTGCCCGCTGGCGCCGGTCACGCGGCCAGGCTTGCGTCTCGGTGGGTTTAGGCATGGTCTCCGAGGTAGGCTATCTACACGAGAACCCCGAGATAGAGGCTCTGCTGCTACGGAAGGGGATCCAGCCGCTCAACGGGGAGGAGTTCCTCCAAATAATCGATTTAGCGCTGGCCAGTGAAGAAGCCTGCAGACCGAGGAATCGCATCTCCTCAAGGGCCTGGAACCGGCCGCTATTCGCGAGCTAAGCGCCCGTGGCTTTGATGTAACTAGCCACGGTGTGCTGGTCGAGGCCCGCGCTTCTGTCTTGTTGGCTTCGTTGCTGGCTGAGAAGGAGGCCGCCTCAACAAGGACGTGCCTGTGGCTGTATCGGCTGCTTTTGCGTGTCATGAGCAGCCCTTGGTATGTGACCACTACGGAGTGACAGGTGACTAGCTGGTGAATAGCTTATATAACGTATATAATTTAAGGTATTATTAACGCCTGCCTCTTCTTAAATCTATGAGGGAACCAAGGTTCCCTTATATACAACATAACGAATGACTAGCTGGTAGATAGCTTCAACCTAAATTTTAGAACCCTTATCACGTCATACGCCTATCGTAATCCTTGTCATCTGACATTGCGTCTGAGGCCGACGCTGACACCATGCGTGAGGCTATTTTGCGCTTGGTCAAGAAGCGATTCTCTAACCTTATCCTGATGCCTTCCGAGCAGATCGGGGAGGACAGGTTGTTGCTTGAGTTTGGCGTCGACAGCATGATAGCGTCCGAATTCCGCGCTTGGTTTTGGTCCGTGTTCCGGGTTGATGTTTCGTTCTTGGATATTATGAGTGCTTAAACATCTCTGGTGGTCTTGGCTGAGTTTGTGGAGGCGAAGTTGAAGGTGACTGCTAGTTAGAACAGCATTATGTCCGAGTTCTAACCCATCAAGAATACGCCAGCCATGTAATTGAATAACTACATGATATCCCACCTACTACTCGGTCCTTCTTTAATTGCGGTGATGCGCAAAAAGAAATTCTGTCATGAATTATGCAAATGGGACATCAGGTCTAAAACTATAATTTTGGGATTTATAGACTTAGTGACATTAATCAAGAGATAACTCTCTGGCCTTCAACAATGAATGGTTGCTGCCCAAGGGGACCCTACTATTTAGTATAAACTTAAATCTGTGACTCTGTTATAATTTCAGCCATGAGTTTAAAGTATTCGATTTAATCTTGAGCTTTGAGCGTCTCCTTGAAACTATTCTCTAAGTTTGGCGTTTCTGGAGCACTGCTGGGTAACAACACCATAGGTTGGCTCTAAGTCGGTTAATATTGATGGGAAACTTTCGTGAATGAATTCTATTCTTGAGAGTTACGATAACTTTTAGATACATTTAGACACAATAAGATCAATTCACCCCCTAAAGCTCCACACATTATGTCCTCAGGTATAGGTATACTTAGTTTTGAAGAGTCTGATTGGTTGAATAACATTATAGTCTTCCCACAATAACCTTACTATCTGATAAGATAGATTAGTTATTATGAATAATACTTAGGCAACGTCTTGAATAAATTTATTTTTAAATTAACTATTAGGCCAAAGAGAACGAAAATCAGAATCACGGAGTTGGAATTCTTCAATTCGAGTACCTCAAAGCGCGTCAGGGTCGAGCTGACTAATAGATTTCTTTATCGACCAATTAGCGCTCACCTTGATTAGCTAGTTTCCATTGAATCAACCTCAACTCAAAGAAGCTTCTGCTTTAGCTCGTGTTCAAGCCATCCGCCAAGCCATTATGTAAAGCTATTGGGGGCACTCTCCACCTCATTAGCATCACTACTCATATTTAGCTATCAGTTTGGTCTGTTCCTCAAAAAATCATATAAGCGTATTGAGATGTCGAAAGACAACAATTTAACTAGTTATCCATATTCTATAAGCTTTCCGTTAGTTTAATGAGAGATTGTACCCGGATATAATCCTTATGTATAATTGTATACAACTCTATCACGTGATGCCCTGCATAGTACATGCCACCTACATCTCAATAGGCTTCGGTCTGTCAGGTGTTCGTGTCATTTTCTTAGCTTGCTTGTATGTAACTTGGCACGGTATCGGAAGTCACTTATGCAGATGAAATAGAAACTGTGCGGTTACATTGAATATAAGCGTAATTTCTGACTACATTGTAATTATAAAGTTTTGCTAATGAGTAGGTACCTATGTTCATTCTGAGCTGTAAAAAGATTTAATAAATGCCTTTTAGGCCTCGTCACTGCAATCACAGTTGCTATAGCCATTGGCACGGCCTTGGTTACAAACGCAGGTTTACAAACGCAGGTTGCTTTTAGGTACTTTGTAATGTGTAATGAAAAGCTTAATTTGGTTGGCAACTTACACGTAAGGTACTTCCACTTAGGCCTACTTCCACTCACTCAATTCGCGTTGAGCTTTTGAGCACAGTCACTGTGGCTGGTGGCTGTGCGAACTAAACTATATTTCTACTAGTCCACTGTCTTCAAAAAGCTGGGCAAGGTAAGGTACCTCCCTCCCACCGTCCGTCCCGTCCACTTTCAATGTTCCCCGACCACCAATTCTTCCAGGTCGATTTTCCGCCAGTTTCTCATCACTATTGCCCACAACACGCACCATACGGGGCCGCACCCGTACATCATCAACCTCATAGACCCATATCGTATTACTTCTTTTCCTGTCTGGGATACTCAAGTTGATGATTCGTAAGTATTTTAATTATACCCCGCTGCTTGTACTGTTGCTGGACAAGGCTGGAGCTTGGTGCTCTGCCGCGTACTTGACATCGAATCCATCTCGAAGACATGTCCACGCGACCTTACTATCCCTTCTTCACTTGCATCTGAGCTTCTCGGACGCTAATATTGGGATGGAATCCGTCATTCTCGGGTTGTCTGACGCGTTGAGACTTCCTCATACGTCACGTCAACACCGGTAGACCGCAATTCCTTTTCCATCACCTATCAGCCTTGTCTTCATCGAAGCATCACTTGATATGCGCCAGATCCATTGCCAGGCTCATTTCTCATATCTAATAGCTATTTATTTTGTTATTATGATCGCTGATATCAGCGCTTTCCGTCAACCCTATATATGTAGCATTTTCTCTGTAAATACCTGCTAACCTTGCTGTCACGTAGCAGACAGGCGTGTTCGATCCCATTATGTCGAGCTCACCAGAGCCTAGTCCCGTCAACGGCCATTCGTCGCCGCAGGCGGGAAGGAATGCAAGAATTATTCTAGATGATCGCGTTAGCGAGAGCGACCTGTCAGATGTGAACGATAATACAGCCCTGCGAGAATCATCCTCCCCATCTTCCCCTAATAATCAATCACCTCAAGAAGCCGAACAAGACCTAGACTCCCAAGGCGGTGCCGAGTCAACCGATAATGACGAAGACAATAATGCCTCAGATGATGCCGACTTTGACATGGAGGATAGCCCTGCTCCTTCTCAAAGCGACGCTCCCCATGATGAAACATCAACTTCGAATGGTTCTCGCCGTGTTCCAAAGAGAAAAGCTGGAGGTGGTGAGGATGAGTATATACGGGAGAACCCGGAGCTATACGGCTTAAGACGAAGTGTATGCAAACCAAACTATTATTCTAGACTCCTACTAATTCGTCTCTATCAGTCTCGCCCTACGAAACAGCCTAAGATCGTAAGTTACATGTTTACTGTCAAAGCCTATTTATGACAACTATAATTCTAATACCATATTTACAGGTTGAATCCGATGACGAGGATGACTCCGGTTCTGATGTTGTTCCTACAAATCGTCGAACCAAGAAGCTCCGCGTGGAGCCAATCTCACGACAATGTGAGTTTCTTGTTGAGTGTAGATAGTGCTCTTCGTAAACTGACAAACTGGTATTCATAGCTTCAAAACGGGGCACGCCTGCGAGACAAACGCCTGCTGATGATTCCGACTCTGATACTTACGGTGGAGCTCGTGCTCGAACATTCATGAAGAAAGCTCGTCGCCAACAAGCCCAACCACAGTCCTTATTATATGCCGAGAAGCGATGGTCCAACAGAAGAGCTGTCCAACAAGTTCAGACATACCACGAAAGTGATATTGATGACGAGGATGAATCCGAGTTGACACCCAATTACTGGGCTGGTGAGGATCTGACCGAAGATACCATGTACATTGAAAAAGTTGTTGGCCATCGCATGACGGATGGTGGTGAATTAACCCCAGATGCGACCCGGGAAGACTTCGAGTATAATATCAAATGGCAAGGTAAATCTTACCTCCACAACACATGGGATACTTTAGAGATTCTCCGCGGGTACCGTGGCTTCCGAAAACTTGAGAATTATTTCAAGAGGACCATCGAGTACGAGATAGAGCTCAAGTTTGCCGGTGAAGATCTTCCACCCGAGACCCGAGAGCAATATATGCTCGACAAGGAACGCGAACAAGACGCCTTAGAAGACTATACAAAAGTAGAGCGTGTTGTTACCCAGCGGAGTGGTGATGAAGGACGGGAATATTTCGTCAAATGGAAGGGTCTCACATATGAGCATTGCACATGGGAGCAAGCATCAACAATTGCCGAATTGGCTCAAGACAAGATTGACCAGTTCCTCGACCGACAATCACGATCATGGACGTCTGATCGAAACGAGTCGAATCCCTCAACGCGAAGCAAGTTTTTGAAACTTGAAAAACAGCCGAGCTACGTACAAAACGGCGAACTAAGAGGATTCCAGCTTACGGGACTGAACTTCTTATGTCTCAATTGGTGTCGTGCAAATAATGTTATTCTTGCTGATGAGATGGGTCTTGGCAAGACTGTGCAAACCGTCTCATTTTTGAGTTGGCTCCGAAACGAGCGCAAGCAAGAAGGCCCCTTTTTGGTTGTTGCACCTCTAAGTGTCATACCTGCCTGGTGTGATACTTTCAACTTATGGTCCCCAGACCTTAATTATGTTGTTTATCTGGGCAATGCAGAGGCGCGAAGTACGATACGTGATCATGAACTCATGTTTAACGGCAACCCGAAGAAGCATAAATTCAATGTTCTTGTCACCTCTTACGAATACATCCTGATGGATGCCGACTTTCTAAGAAGTATAAAGTGGCAAGCTCTGGCTGTGGACGAGGCTCACCGCCTAAAGAATAAGGATTCCAAGCTGTATTCGGAACTTATGAGTTTCGGTGCACCCTCTAAGGTTCTGATCACTGGCACTCCTATTCAGAATAACTTGGCTGAATTGTCATCGCTTCTCGACTTCTTAAACCCCGGCAAAGTTCACATAGATGAGGATTTGGATACCCTTGCCGCCGCAGATGCTCAGACGAAACTTAGGGATCTGCATGCCGCCATTGCACCCTTCATCTTGCGAAGAACCAAAGAGACTGTCGAATCAGACCTTCCACCCAAGACCGAGAAGATTATCCGCGTAGAGCTTTCAGATGTCCAACTTGAGTATTATAAAAACATCCTTACCAGGAACTACGCAGCCCTCAACGAGGGGAACAACGGCCAGAAGTCATCCCTGTTGAATATTGTCATGGAGCTGAAGAAAGTCAGCAATCATCCATACATGTTCCCTGGTGCTGAAGAGAAGGTTCTCAACGGCAGTGAACGTCGGGAAGACCAAATCAAAGGCCTGATTGCCAGTAGTGGGAAAATGATGTTGCTAGATCAACTTCTTAACAAGCTGAAGAAGGATAATCACCGTGTCCTGATTTTCAGTCAGATGGTGAAAGTGCTTGATATCCTTGGAGACTATCTTCGACTACGTGGGTATCAGTTCCAGCGATTGGATGGTACTATTGGTGCTGGCCCAAGACGCTTAGCAATCAACCATTTCAATGCAGAGGATAGCTCAGACTTTTGCTTCTTACTCTCAACACGAGCAGGTGGCTTAGGTATTAACCTTATGACTGCTGATACGGTTATCATCTTCGATTCAGACTGGAATCCTCAGGCTGATCTTCAAGCTATGGCGAGAGCCCATCGTATTGGACAGAAGAAGCCTGTCACTGTTTACCGCCTTGTTTC